CCCCCCCCTTAGACACAACAAGCTCAGGCTAGCAGTCAGCGGGCTTTGGACACATTGTTCTGTCTTCCAGGACTGCCCTATGCTCACCTGTGCTGCCTTCCCTGGCTTAAATGTTACCTCCCCAGGGGAGCTTCTCTAGCCCCTAAATTTCTAGTAGATGGACTCTAGAATAGTAACCAATTAATCGTTAGCAATTATTTAGTAGCTGTCTCCCCACCAGACTGTCACCCATGAGAGGAGAGACTGCCTTTTCACTCCTGTGATCTTACATAGCTCAGGGTCTAGGACATGGGAGGTGCTTGTTAGATGGGGGATGGGGGGTGGATGGACTGTGGGTAGGTGGGGATAGATGAGGAATGAACGGTTGGGGGTGGCCCATTTACTCCTTACTCTCCCGGGTCTACGTTTCCATAAAATGTATCTCGTTTTCCTGGCCGGGTATCGGCTGGAGCGTCATCCTGATGCACCAAGGTCGTGGGTTCCATCCCTGGTCAGGGGTCACACAAGAGTCAACCAATGATGCATTAATAAGTGGGACAGCAAATTGATGTTTCTCTCTCTCTCCCTCAAAAAAAAAGTATTGCATTTGTTGGCATATGTTTCTGAACACCAACTGCATTCCAGGCACAGAGAGTTCATACGGTGATTAGATGGTCCCCAGCCTCAGGGACCTCAGTCTGGCGAGGGGAGCAGACACCTCGACGTCCCCTGGAGACCGTGAAACGCAGGGCAGGGCAGCCCCGTGTTTGTGCGGGTGGGTGGGTGTCGGCATCCAGGGCACTTCTGGGAGGGAGGGAGCCAGAATTTGGAGAATTGGGGAAACAACGGATGTTGTGCGGATCTGGATTTCTTTTTCTTTCTTTTTTTGTTTTTTAAAGACTTTTTATTGATTTTTTTTTTTTTTTTTAGAGAAAGAAGAAGGGAGAGGGAGAGAAACACCATTGTGAGAGAGAAACACCCATCGGCTGCCTCCTGCACATCCCCTGCCGGGGATTAAGCCCACAACCAGGGCATGTGCCCTGACCAGGAATTGAACGGGCAGCCTTTCGGTGCCCGGGGTGATGCCCAGCCCACTGAGCCACACCAGCCAGGGCGAGGGTCTAAATTTCATGAAGATTCAGATGTCAGTTACATAACTTAAAAGTAATGTAAAAACCAAAGAAAATTAAATGGTGGGAAAGAGACCCAGGGGCAGACTGGCAGAAGCCCAGAGGAAAAAGCCACGTGCTTAATGAGGGGCTTCCTGGAGGAGGCAGCATTTGAGTTGGCTGTAGATGAGGGGAGGAGGCCGTGGCAGGTGCATTCCAGGTAAGACACAGCATGAAGGAAGCCCAGCAGAAGGGAGGAGAGGCCTGGGCTCTCCCAAGCTGGCAGGCTTTTGGCCACCACGCCTGCTCCCTAAGCTTTAGAGCCCTCAGTTGGCACCTGCCCCAGCTGGGCCGCAGCGCAGCCTGCCAGCGGAGTTTGTGAGTGCCCCCAGGCGTTGCTGCTGCCTGTCCCACAGTAACTCGGTAGACCAGCAGGCAGGGTTATGCCCACTTTTGCCACCTGTTTCTGCATTTGGACAGATGGCACCCACCCTCCCAGTGTTCCTGGCATGAAAAACTCTAGACTGGGGCTCAGGAGGCCTGGCTCAGAATATCAGGCAAAAGTCACATTGTATCTTTGAGCTTCATGTCCAGGAAAAATTCTTTTTAGTCTGGAGTCTCACAGCTCCTTGGAAGTGTCCTTAAAATGCTGAGTTCATGTGTATCTTTCTGAGAAGAGGTGCCTGAACTTTCATAAGATTCTCAAAGGCCTCTTGACCCCCAAATGGGACCCCTGGGATGCTCTGGGATCCCCTTCAGATTCCGAGGAGGGCTGGTTTGTGGGAGGGAATTTGTCCGTTTGTTATTGCCCAGCCTCAGGGGCATTGGTGTGCTGACCATCCCCTGGTGTTTTCAGACCATGTGACCAGAGAGAAGCTGGACCGGATCCTGGCCCTGATCCAAGGCTCCCATCAGAAGGCCCTGGTGACGTAAGTGGGGCCCAGCCCACACCTCCCTGAAAGGGGCCTCGAGAAGGTGCTAGAAGAGCCAGAGGTGTCCACAGGGCTCCCGTAACCTCCGCCCACCCGGGGCAGATTCCACAGATCTCCTTTTCAAAGCCTGAAAGCAGAGGGGAGCTGTTTGTTCTTTCCTTCCACAGCCTGCAAAGTGCTTCTGTGTCAGGTCACAGGCCAGCCCATGGGAAAACTGCAGGACGAAACACCAGCTGCCCTGGGAGTGTCTGAGCTAATGGAGAGGAAGGCCAGGGACAGCATCATGTGGCACAGGGCTGAGGCGGGAGCGGTCGGCACACGTGTGGCTGTCGATGCCAGGGAGAGTGCAACAGAGGGCAGACTGCACCTGCGGGTTGGAAGGACAGAGAAAGCACTGCTGGACAGGCCCCTGGAGGGGAAGGGGAGATGCAGAGCCAATGGGGAGCTTCAGGGAAGGCATCTCAGGAGTGGGCAGGGCCAGGGCTAAGCAGTTAGCTCAGCCCCCACCCCACGCCCACCACCCAAGTCCACCCACCTCCTGATCCCCAGGTACTCCAGCCTTGACCTGCAGACCCAGGAGGCCTATGAGATGGCCGTGAGAGGCCTGATCCGGCCCATGAGCAAGTCCCCCATGCTGATCACTGGCATCCGATGCCTCCACTTTGCGCCACCAGAATTCCTCTTAGGTAAGTCATCCCAGGAAGTCGGAGCAGGGAGATGGGACTCCCAGGTTTGGGGAGTCACTGTGGAATGCCCTTGCATGTCCCTGCAGAGGTGCAGTGCATGCACGAGACGCAGAAGCAGCTGCGGAGACTGGTGCATGAAATTGGCCTTGAGCTGAAGACCTCTGCTGTCTGCTCCCAAGTGCGGCGTACACGTGATGGCTGCTTCACCCTGGACGATGCCCTCCTGCGGACCCAGTGGGACCTGTACAGCATCCAAGAGGCCATCTGGGCCGCAGCTCCCCGGGTGGCAGCAGAGCTGGAGAAGAGCTTGAGGCTGGGGCTGGGTGCCCAGCAGCTCCACGGTCCAGGCTGTCAGTGGGACAGTGAGGGGCCAGGCTCTGACTCAAAAGGCCGGACAGCTGGTGGGGCAGCGGGTGAGTAAAAGTCAGAGTTGTGCATGAGCTGGGACGGGTGATGGTGCAGAACAAGCCGGGGAAGCTTCACCACCTAAGTGTGAAACTTTGAAACTGTGAGAAAAGACAATGCAACTGAAAAGGAAAACCCTCTGTGTGGAGGAAAAGTTGACACACAAATGACTGACTGGTAAAACTATTTGTAGTATGTTTAATGAAGAACTAATATCCATCGCACACAAAGAGCTCTTATAAAGCAAGGAAGCGGGCCCTGCCAGTGTGGCTCAGTGGTGAGAGCGTTGGCTGCAGACTGAAGGGTCCCGGGTTGGATTCTGGCCGAGGGCACGTACCTGGGTTGCAGGCTGCTGTGGCTACACTTCCGAACAGCAACCTTACAGGGTCGTCACAGGTGGAGTCGGGCCTTCCCTCCCTCGATGTTTCTCTGCAAAAGTCAGTTGGGAAAGGGACAGACACTAGCTCAACCAGGTGACCAGGGTCAGCATCCACAGCGATAGGTCATGTTGCTGGTACGTAATCGTGATGTGATGTGATGGAAATGGCCCTTGACCTCTGAGGTCCTCCCAGGAACTCGTAACCCAGGTCTTATGACAAGAACATCAGATTCTGGGAGTGGGCATCTTACAAAACACCCGACTACCACTCCTGGGAACTCAAGGTCACCCGAACAGTGATGTTCAGGGTTTGACAATAAATGCAGCATGGGATCCAGGAACAGAAAGGACCTTAGGCAAAAAGAAAGGAAACCTAAGTGGTCTCTGGACTTGAATAACTGTATTGGTATTGGTTTATCAATTGTGACAAGCATACTGACGTAAGAGGTGAATACAATCATGGGCAACTGGGGCTGAGTATGTGGGAGTTCTCTGTACTCTCTCAAGTTTTCTGCAATCAACCGTCCTAAAGAATCCCCTGGAGAGATCTTTGAGAATCCAGATTCTAACCCAAACTCTTGGATTCTGATGCAGTAGGTCTGGCATGGGGCCCAGAAACCTAAATGATGGAGTTCAGAGAGCTCCTGGGTTAGTGACTAGGTGCTGGGAGGGTGGTGCACCCGGAGAGCGTGGGAGCTGCGCCCCTTCCCTCTCCCCTGGCCCTGGGCATCACCGCCATTCCCCTGTTCCTGAGCTGCATCCTTTAAATAAAATGAAGAAGTGTTTCTTCGAGATCTGTGAGCTGTTCAAGCAGATTCTCAAACTTGGGGGTGTGGGGGAACTTCACTCCTGATGTAAAGCCCTCGGTCAGCAGCACAGGTGACAGCCTGGGGCCCTGACTGGCGTCTGAACCGGGACCTGTGGGCTCCGGGCAGTCAGATGTGAGTTAGGTTGTAGGACACCCGCCCCGTCTACGCCCACTGACAGCTGCAGGATTGCGTGGTGTGGAAGACCCGTGCCCGCTGTCGGAGGTACTGTGTGTGGAGGGAAACGGTTCTTTAACCTGTATGTGTGTTTAGTGTTTGTGTGTGGAATGAACCCAAATGGCTAATTTTTTGAACAAAGTGGAATCCTACGCAGTGTGACGAATGGCTTCTTTAACAAGAGAGCGTGGCCACTTCTCCCTGTGGGGGTGGCTGCGGACCAGGGCTCTCCCGGGGAGGGCTGACCTCTGACCTCCGCCGGGAGCCGGGAGTCGGCCTTGTCACAGGTGCCCTTGACTCAACCTCGGGGTGAGAGCCAGCGGGCTCCGTGTTCTTTGGAAGGGCCCTTGCCCCTCGGGCCTCTGGCACTTACGCCATAACCTCAAGAGGAAGCAGGAATTGGCACCACACTCGTTTCCTGAAAGGCTGGACGGCCGCCATCTCTGGAAAGTGCTCCCGGGCCTGGGCCCAGCCCAGAGCCTGGGCAGGCGTGGTGGTCAGCAGCCAGGGGACCGGAGGGAGGAGGGCGGTGACTCCAACAGCACCAGCTGTCCTGCCCCGCGGGCGTCCGCTGTGCCGGGCTGTGTGCCACCAGCTTTACGTAAATTCAGCATCTCAGCTGCTCGTCCCCTGGTACGAACTAGGGTGACTACCTCCACTTTAAAATTTTTTAAAAATTCTCAGCAGGGATATTTTTTCCATGCTTTTCATGGAGAGTGGAAGGGAGGGGGAGAGGGAAAGAGAAACATTGGTGTGAGAGAGACACCGACTGGTTGCCTCCCGAATGCACCTCGGCCGAGGCCGGGGAAGGAACCTGCAACCCAGGTACGTGCCCTTGACCGAGAATCAGACCCGAGACCCTTCAGCCCAGGGGCGGACGCTCTAACCACTGAGCACACCGGCCAGGGAAGTTGCTAGGAAGAGACACCCTGCCTAGCGGAGAACATCTGTGTCTCCAGAGGATCTGCCCCCTCACGATTTCAGACCCGTCTTCCCCACTTCGGGGCGAGGCTGAGCCATGAGCAGGTGCCTGTCCCCCCTGTGCTTCCTCAAGCCACACGCGCCGCCCGAGGCAGCCCCCCCTTCTCGCTTAGCATCTCCAGACATCGGCCCCTCCCTCACACCAGAATCCCCAGGGAATTTAATCCCCGTTTTACAGATGGGGAAACGGAGGCACAAAGAAGGTAATGCTTGCCTGGGCCTCCCACCCAGTCAGGTAGGTTTGAACTGGGCAGTCTGGCTCCAGGGCCCATGCTCTCCATCTCTTCATCATGACCTCCCGATCTTGACCTTGGGGGGACCTAGGCCCAGCCCCCGAGTCCCCAGTGAGACTGTCCCGTGGAGACCTTGGGGCCAGGGGAGGTCGGCATAGTCAAATCCCGCCTTGGAGCTGTGGTCTCGTTAGGCAGAAAACATAGAAATACATATTTCTGCATGTAGACAATTCAGAATAAAATCAAATAGTACTCGGGTTTGCGGGATCCAACCAGAGGAGAGGAGACCTGGGTGGGGCAGAGGGGTTGGAAAAATTAGGTAACTGGAGCCCAGGCTACGGAGATAGGCCGGAAGCCAGGGACAGACAGACAGCGGACAGCAGTGTGCCGCCGAGTGAACCCTGTCTTCCCTAAACCAAGGACTCGGGAGTAAATGGTTTGCACGTCTCCTCCCCAACCCGAGGATAAATAGCTTAAATCACCCCACTCGGGGAGACGGCAGAAATCTAATGAGTGCCATCTGCCAACCACACCCACGGACAGGTGACGCTAAGAGGGTAAACCTCATTTCGGTGCATTAGCATAAAGCGGATGAATGTTCATTCTTTTGAGAGCCTCTCCTAGGAGCGCCCCTAAACTCCCAGCCTTTAAAACCCCCCAAGACAAGGTCCCAGGGCACACTCTCCCTCCCAGGAACACGCCCTCCCCTGCCCCTTTTTCCCCCAGGCCGGCATCTCCTAAACTCTGAGGAACCCCCATGAGACTCACGACCAGGGAGCGGTGGGCGGCGGCCGATCGTCCCAGGCAAGCCCCCTAAACCTGTCCCCGAGGCCGCTTTCCTCTGACTTCTCAGTGAGCCCAAGCGGCCCAGCCCAGGCTCATTTCCCCGCCTCGTCCGCCCCTGTTCCCGTGAACCCTTCCTTACTGCGCCGTCCTCACCTTTAACAAACATCCTCCCACATGGATTCGTGTTGTGAAATTTTTCCTGCGTGAAGTCAAGAGCCCACACACTGCACCCGCCTGCCCCAGGCAGACCCGGCAGGGGCCAGGTCCCTTTCCAGTAACAACGTCGCTCCGTTGGGAGCCCTTATTGACACAGAGATTACAAAAGAGGTCACAGTGGCCTATCCTGATCTCGGGACTGTGGGGTGCAGGGATACCCGAGTCATGGCCAAAACATCCGGCTGACACGCAGCCTCGGCCTGCTGGGAAAAGCCACCCCAAACCCCTTAGGACGGTAAGATGTTTTCCTTAGAAGGTGCCTTTAGTCCCGAAAAGGTTAGGCATTAACAACGGTTGCTAAATTGCACCAAATGGGTAAATAACTTGAGATTTGTAAGTTGAGCTTTAAAATTTAAATTAAACTATTGGGCTATTTCAAGAGAGACTTTTAAAAGCCAAGTAAAGTGCAAATAGTCCTTTCTGAGCACCAGACGTGCTCTCAAGAGCACCAGCAACTCCACCGGCTCCCACATTTGCCAGGTGCCTGCCCGGGTGACGTGGGCACCGGGGCCTGAGGCCAAACCCTGGTGGGCACTGGGTGGCCTGACCTCTGTGAGACCCGTTCACCTAAAAGGCCAAAGTGAGAGGCAACAAGCATTTACTTGAGCCAAAAGAATAGCTATTTGGGGAGCATGGGTTCAGGCAGAAACCCAAATGGTGCAAAGGCGGGGGGACAATTACATCAGTAGAAGGAAGGCATTTCTGTCGGTGCAGAGAAGCTAACGTGGTGGTGCTAACTCTAAAGGATGCTTGTTATTTTTAGTCTCGTCCCCATGTCTGCCTTCAACGTTACCTTTGCAAACAGTTGTCTGGGACACGGCCTTACCCGAGGCCCAGGCCAAAGGTTCGTTTGCCCAGTGTTATCACCCCCGAGGTTGGGGAGCTAAGGCCTGCGAGGCGGTTCCTCTGGGATGGCAGCCCTGCCTCCATTTTTATTTTATTTTATTATTTATATTTTATTTTAGCCTCATCAAAGGATATTTTTCCCCCATTGCTTTTTAGAGAGGCTGGAAGGGGGAGAGGGAGAGAGAGAAACACCAATGTGAGAGACACATCGATTGGTTGCCTCCTGAACACCCCCCTGACTGGGGCCTGGGATGGAGCCTGCAACCGTGCCCTTGGCTGGAATCGAACCCGGGACCCTTCAGTCCTCGGGCTGAGGCTCTAACCACTGAGCCAAACCGGCCAGGACTGGGTTGCAGGTTTGATCCCCAATTCCTGGCCCTGGTCGGGGTGCATGCGGGAGGTGACCCGCCGATGTGTCTCTCATGTCGACGTGTTTCTCTCCCCCCCCCACTCTCTAAAAATCCCCTGGGGTGTGGAGTCACAGACAGCGAGAAGAACCAGGCGTCGGGATGAGCCGACACTCGCCTGCCTTACAGCATCAAACCAGCCTGTGTATCTCTGATCTCAGCGGGGCTCACTTCACCTGCCCCCAGATGTGGAAGCTGCGGCCGGGGCGGTGGCCCAGCCTCCCGTGTCCGCCCTGCCTGGCGCACCTGCCGGGCTTCCTCCGCGGCCGCAGGATGAAAGCACAGGGAGGAACCGCCTCCACCGCCCTGCTATCGCATCTGGATCGGCTCCCCACATCCTGTGGCGCCTCCTCTGAGCTCACCCGCGGGAGGCGTGGGACGCCCCTGGAGATGGCTGGATAACAGGAGGGACAGACATTAGTCACACAGCAGTTCCCGTCTGGGTGACAGGGCTCAGGCTGCTGCTGCGGATGCCGGAGGGTGATTGAGACAGACAAGCATCAGGTGGGCGGCTCGGGTGCGAGGGGGGCCTTCCAGCCGCCTTGAGATCAGAAAAGAAGCCTGGGCTCCAAGGGACCCCCTGCCCAGAATGTTTCCCCACGTGGACCCCACTCCCAACCTCTGAGCCCCCAATAAACCAGGATGGAGAGGAGCCCTGAGATGGCAAACAGGACGAGCCCCTCCCGGGCAAACCAGCTGGGCAGGTCTGCGGGTGCCAGGGTGGAGGGTGGAGCAGCAGGTAAACGCCAGCGCAGGCAGGGTGCCGACCAACGCGGGGCCCGCGGGCCTGCGAGCTGCGGGGGAAGCCGGCGGAGGTCCCCTGAGTTTGACCCAGAGCTGGCTCTGGGGCCGGGGGCTCTGGAGACGGGTCTAAAGACAGCTGGGTTCGAGGCCCGATTCGATCAGACGTTACTACCGGTGCTTAGAAGTTATTAAAAGCAACTCGTCAGTTGTTAAGGAACACTCGCCTGATGGGCCGGGTACCCAGGCACCTGGGCTGCTCATTAAAAAAGATCGTCCGCCCCAGGCCAGGCCGGCAAAATCAGGATCGCTAAGGGAGGGGTTAGGGACTCAAATCTTTATCATTATTTTCATTATTCAGTTGTAGTTAATCCTAACCCGAGGATATTTTTTCCATTGGTTTTTAGAGAGAGAAGAAGGGAGGGAGGGAGTTGGGGGGGGAGACATCAATCAATTGGTTGCCTCCTGCACCCACCCTGACCTGGGCAGGGGATCGAACCTGCAAACCAGGTGTGTGCCCTTGACTAGGAATCAAACCCCGAACCCTGTGGCTCGCAGGCCGACGCTCCAACCACACCGGCCAGGGCCCAAATCTTTATTTTTAAACGCCCTCTCAGATAACTGTGACACTCGAGGTTTAGAAATTATTCCCAGGTCTTTAAAGAGCCCATCCTTGGAGCCCTCATTCTCCGAGTCTGCTACTTAGCTGTGTTTCTTTGGGAAAGTGACTTAACCTCTCTGAGCTTTGTTAGCTTCACCTGGAAAACGGAGACGACTATATGCCTCTTAGGGCCACCGTCAGGAATCCGTGCAACCGGGGGGCTGAGCGGCAGGCTGGGGGCCGGCGCGGAGCCTGTGCTCAGCGTGGCACCTGCTGGGGTTATTGCCTCAGCTGAGATCCTGCAGGATTCTGAGATGAGTGCAAGGAACTGAGAGCCAAAGAGCAGGAGGGGTCTTCTCCTGCTCGGAGTTCCTGACGCTGGAAAGGAGAGGCTCACTGAGCAGAGGGCAAAGCCTCCCACGCAGAGAAATTAGGAGGGAGGGGCCGAGGCCAAGCCCAAGGCCAAAGCTGAGGCTGCTCATTTCTGGCCACTGGCCTGGCTGGTAGGTCAGGGCCTTGGGCAGATACGACTTGTGAGAAGCACAGTGGACATTTGTGGTAAGGCCTTGGGCTTAAGGGCTCAGAGAGCTCTGGGTTCCAGTTCTGACTCCTTTTATTAATGCATGACCTGGGGTGAGAGACGAGAGAGAGGACGAGCCTCTGCTGGGGAGGCAGGACAGTGCGCCCCAGCCAGGCTCGCAGCGTGGGCCTGTGGCCGGGAGCAAGTCGCTCCGCCCTCCAGCTTGGGGACACTGAACGGGGGATGCGTAGGAGAGCCTCACTGAGCCACCTGAGCCCCAGTGTTTTCTAAGTGTTCCTTGTCAATGCCATCAAACCTTTCTCTGGGGAAACCTTGGCTTGTGGCTGGGCCCCTTGCCTGGCCTTCCCGAGGTGTCCCCTTTTTCTGAGCAAAACTAGGCGGGGTGCTGCGCCGGCTGGGTGGCTCGCTTGGCCGGAGAACCGTGCCGTGCACCAAAAGGCTGCGGGCGCAATTCCCGGTCAGGGCACATACCTAGGTTTCGGGTTCGATCCCCAGTCGGGGCATATACAGGAGGCAACCAGTTGATGTTTCCCCTCACATCCATGTTTCTCTCTCCCCCTCTGCCCTCTTTCTCTTTAAAAATTAATAAACACATCCTCGGGCGAGGATTTAAAAATAAATTCACGTTACTGCAAAAACACCTTTAAAAAATAAAAATAAAGCGGGGCGCCATCCGGTGACACCACTGCGGTGAGGTCAGGCTGCCCAGAAACGACCCCTTCGGCTCCCGGGGGAGCGAGTGGGCTGCGTGGCCTCAGTGTTTTGAGCTCCCGCACGTGCCGGGCGATGACCATGTTCAGGAGCATCTGCCCTGGCCGTGAGCAAACACGCTGCCCGGGGTCAGACTTACCCGGGGCTGCCGGTTTCCCAGGAAATGTCCGGTCACTGTCCCCATCTCACAACCGGCTGGCTTCTCACTGACCTGGGGGGGCTGGGGGTCATGGCGGACTCCCAGGAGGGGTGCTGCCAGAGAAAACCTCTCCTCTCGGGGCCCTGGGGGAATCTCGCCTGTGGCCAGAGGCTGGGCAGGCCCGGACCTTCCCCACCAGGCCCCCGGGGTGGCCTCCCGGCCCTTGGGCTCATCTCCAGGCGGACACTGCCCCCGTGAGGCGGCCCTGGCCACGGCGCTGGGACAGGGACCCGCGGCGCTTTCCTTCCAAGCCCTCCGGGCAGCTCTGCAAGACTGGCCCCGAATGCAGGCTTTGGAGCACTCGCCCTGCAGACATCCCCAGCCCAAGACCCTGGAGCTGCCCTGGTGCCGTCTGTCGCCTTTTCGGGGGAAGAAATGCAACCCCCGGCGACTGGCAGAGCGGGAGCACGCAGCCCGAGAGGCCTTGGGCCCCCCTCACCCGCCATCTGTGGGGCGTGGAGGGGTTACGGGCATGAGCAACGCGGAATCAGGGTTGAGGAGGGTTAGAGCTAAGGGAGAGGAGGAAAGATACCCTGCTGTAAATTTCGATGTTAGATACCAAAAGTCGGGGTGGGGGAAATGCGTAAACACGAGCATCAGTTAGAGGAAGGTCAGGGCTAAGCAGCTAGACTGAGAACAGCCTGCGGAGGGGCTGGGGTGCGGGTGGAGACGGCCCCTCAGCCGCGGGCCGCCCACAGCATCCTGGCATTGAGAGCTGCGTAGAAACGCGGGAAAAAGAAAAAACCGCCAGTAATCCTACCACCTTAAACAAGCATTACTACTACTGTGGTGAATTTCCTCTGTTATTTTCCTACGTCTGCCTTTAACGTCTTTATTGGGTTAAAAATTTTTATTTATTTTGAGATCAATTTGTTGTTCCACTTATTTTTTTGAAAACATATATTTAAATATGTCTTTATTGACTTCAGAGGAAGGGAGAGGGAGAGAGAGAAACATCAGTGATGAGTCATTGATTGGCTGCCTCCCGCACGCCCGACTGGGGATCGAGCATGAAACCCGGTCATGTGCCCTGACTGGGAATCGAACAGAGATCTCTTGGATCCCAGGCCAACGCTCCACCACTGAGTCATACCCTGCCTGGCTTTTTAAAATATTTTAAAATTGAGTTTTAGAGAGAGGGAGATAGAAACATCAATGATGAGAGTCATCGATCCACTGCCTCCTGCAGGCCCCCTGCTGGGCATCGAGCCTGCAACCCGGGGCATGTGCCCTGACGGGGATCCAACCGTGACCTCCTGGTTCATGGGTCGATGCTCAACCACTGAGTCACACCAGTTGGGTCATGGGCTCACTGTCATTTCCCAGCCTCCCTCAGTGTGTTTGAGCCACATGACAGGTTCTGGGCATTTAACTGTGAATAAAGGTGACACCTGCCGATTTGGGAGTTGGTTCAGAGGTGCTGTGTCTCCCCCACCTCCTCTCCCGCTGGGGGTTCCGGCGGTGGAATGTCAGACCCCCATCAGGCACTGCAAGGCAAGGAAACCTGGCTTGGGGGTCAGGATGGAGAACTAGGGGCTGTTGGTCGAGGCAGCCAATGCTCACTGATGCACAGGTGCTACTACGATTTCCACAGAGAAGCCAAGCCAGTTGCCCAGGTCACACAGCCTGTAAGTGGGCGGAGCTGGAACTCAAACCCAGGTCAGCTCTCATGGCCAGTTTTAGGACGTATACTTACTTCACCACATGACAGCCCGATCCAAGGGCTGCTGTCACCTCTGGAACCTCACACGAGTGTCCAGCAGGACAGGGCCGGAGGGGCAGGGGGAATGGTCAAAACACTCAGCAGATCTGGGGTGAAGTCCCATCAGTCTGGACCATGCCCAGCAGTTGTGACACTCTGGTGTCATCCTTGCCACAGAGGGCTGGTCATGATAAGTGACACCCAATGAAGAAGTGACAGCTCATCCTTGCTTGGCGGAGGTGAAAGCTGGACCAGACCCTCCTTCTGCAGGTCAGTTTACACGGGAGACTTCCTCGAAACGCTGCCATTTCACCCTCAGCTCTCACCCGCCTGTCTCCACCCAGAGCAGCAGCACTGCCAACCATCAGCTTCTGATTGACTTGGGCTCAAGTCCTTGCTCCACTATTTACTGGCTGTGTGACTTTGGGCAAGTCACTCTGCCTCTCTGAGCCTCAACTTCCTCATCTGAAAAGTGGGGACAGCAAAACTGAACCCTCATCAGATGGATCTGAGCATCGAGATATGGATGTAAACACTCGGCACGGTGCCGGCACAGGTAAGGCCGCTCTAACCGGCAGGCTCGCTCCCCGGGAGATGGGCTGTCAGCGGAGAGGGACGTCATTCAGATTCACACCAAGACCATCCATGTGTTTATTCACAAACAGGAGACAGATATAGACACAGGCATCACTGGGGCGTCTCAGGAGTCCTGGAGCTGGGGACACACCTTCCCCTTCCCCGGACTCCCTCCTGACTTGGCGTGGGCTCTCCGGAAAAGGCTGCCAACACCTTCTCGCTGGTAAGTGTGGGTGTGCCACCTGGGCTCACACAGCTTCTCACAGCTGCACAGCCTGCCCCAGGGGGCCGTGGACCAGGGGCCATGGACCAGGCACTGTGAGCCTCTGCTCAGTCACTCATGTCCAGGCCAAACTCAGGATACAAGTCTCTGGTGGTGACACATCGGACCACGGCTGAAAGGAAGGGTGGGTGTCCAGTGGGAGAAGCGGGAGAGTGGCCAAACCCTGACCACCCAGCACCTGCTCCTGTACCTTTTTCCTGCTCCCCTAGTTGCCAACATAATTCCCCTGCCACTCCTGCCTCGCCACCCCAAACTAGACCCATCGAACCCTCTCCCCACTCTGCAGAGTACCCATGTGGGTGGGAACCCTCCCTGAGGGCACGGGGAGCATTTGCCAGGGGCTCCCCTTGGATCTTTTCTCCATACAGAGCAGCCAGAGCCACCTGCTGAGAACAGAGACGCATGTGTGCCTTGTATCCAGGGCCTGCTGCAAACCCCACCTCCTCCACCTGCCCTGCTGCCGTGCCCAGGGTGATACTGGCCATTTGGTGACACTTCCTCCCCCTCCCTCCATGGCTCTTTCCTCCCACGGGAAGGGCTCTCTTCAGAGGCCTCCTGACTACCTCCCCTCACCCCCACCTGCCACCTGTTCCTACCTCAATATTCTCCATCTCTGCCCTTTGATTCCTTCATAGCACTTAACATGTTCTATAACTTGTTTGCTCCTGTTCTTTAGTAAGTGACCGTCTTCCCTCCCTGACCCCGACATGGAAACAGAAGTCACATGAAAACAGCCTTTCAAGTGTCCACGTCTCCAGTGTCCCCACACCTTGCAGAGTAGCCCGGGGCAGGCGCTCAGGAAGCATTCACTGCGTCCACCCTGCGGGCTCCCCTGGAGTCCTGCTGCTCACCCAGTTTGCCCAGCAGCATCTGGCCTACATCCTTTATGTCGTTGTACTCATGGAGCTGGGAGATATGGTCCTCCAGTTCAGCCACACTGTAGCCTCTGGGGCGAGGGATGGAGAAGAGAAAGCTGATGAGGATCCAAGGTGCAGAGAGTAACAGGACATCTGGTTGACAAATGTTCACAAAGGGCCTACTAGGAACTCAGCACTGGGGACGTGGAGATGGCAAGACAGACTGTGTCCACTAAAGCTCATAGTAGCAGGGGATCAGCCCCTGGCAAATGTTTCCCATGCCCTCAGGGAGGGGTCCCACCCACATGGGTACTTTGTGTCCTTGGCCATGGCTGAGGGACTCACAGATGGGCACACGGGTGGCTACTCAGAGCCCCTCAAGCGTGAAATGCATGTTCAAAAGCTGCTCAGTTTGTGCCCCATGGCTGGAGCAAGGGGCATGGGAACTTGGGAGCTATGGAAGAACCAGCCTCCCCCAAGGCACTGAGAACCCTACCTGAGGGAGGAATGCAGTCTGGGTGCAGACAGAGGCGGAGGCAGAGAATGTGAGCCCCAGAGAGTGGTGACCTCCATTCCCAACACCTTTCCAGTCCCTACTTCCCAGTGCCCGAGCCTGAGCACATTCTACCCAAAAGGGCTTAAGGAAACGCCTGAACCCAGCAGCTCATTCCTGCTTTCATGCTGAGCTGGTATAACTGGGTTGTAGCTACTGGGCACCAGTTATCCTAATTAAGCAAGCCGAGAAGCCCGGCAAGACTTACTCTGATATTAACTGGGAGATCTCCTTGTCCAGCAGGTCCCTCTTCTCCTTCAGCTTCTGCATGTCAAGGTGCAGAGAATCCTCGCTGGCCCTGTCGGCCTCGCCAGGCTTGGGAGATGGCCGCTGAGTGGCACAAAAAATCATTAGCCGGACTAACCAATTATCCACAATTTGGAACCTACAACTTGTTCCCCAATAGGCACTCCCTGCTTCTGCTCGGTAATAGACATCACCCAACCCCAAATGAGACGACATTTCCCAGCTTCCCTTGGAGTTGGATGTGGCCCTACAACTAAGTTCTGGCAAGTGGAACTTAATCAGAAATGGTGAGCCCGGCCAGTGTGGCCCAGTGGTTGAGCCAGGAGGTTGCTGGTTTGATTCCCGGTCAGGGCACACGCCTGGGATGCGGGCTCGATCCCCAGTAGGAGGCGTGCAGGAGGCAGCCGATGGATGACTCTCATCATTGATGTTTCCATCTCTCTCTCCCTCTCCACCTCTCTGACATCAACAACAAAAAACCCATTAAAAACACACACACAGGAAACAGATTAAACGGTGACTCTTCAACCCTTCGCTCTCCTTGTCCTGATGTCTCCTGACATCTACCACCACCTGAGGTGTCATGCCTTTCACCGATAATGTCATTGTCGTTGTTGACCTTATACCCGCTGGCGGGTAAACTCCGCCAGGGCAGGGGCTCTGTCATATTTACTGCTGACTGCGCTGCGTCTACAGCAGTACCTGGCACACAGCAGGCGCTCAGAAAACTTGGTCAAAGGGATGCGTGAAGGACAACTTAGTAATCGACTAACTACCAGTCTGAAAAGTGCTTTGAAGCTGGCGGCCAGTGTGCTAAGGGGGCGTCTCACGGGGCTGCTGGCCTGAGCCCGGCGTGAGGGGGTCCCCTCCGAGGGAGCTCAGTTCTAAAGGACGGGGGGCCATGGGCTTGGCAAACCCTGAAAGTACCCAAGTGCCCTAAGACAGGGCAGAGCTCCCGTGTTGGAGGGAACCGGAACGGCTTATGTGCAGGTGTGAAAAGGGACCCACCCCTCGCGGTGTGTCGGGGGGCCGGAGAGACTGAGCCCACGCGGGGCGCCGCTGCTGAGGCCAGCGCTCTGCTGCCTCCACATTTGAACTAGATTTCAGAGGGAGGGAGGGAGGGAAGGAGGGAGGAACATCGATGAGAGGCCGTCAGGGGCCGGCTGCCTCCCGCAGGCCCCCTGCTGGGATGGAGCCCGAAGCCTGACCTCCCGGTTTTGGGGTGACGCCCGACCACTGCGCCACACGGGCCGCCGCTTCC